AGCAGGTTGCAGGGTTGAGAGGCAGCGATGGCAGGCCAGGTTCTTGAGCCAGACTCTGATTGCAGTTATGCTGGAATAAATCTAGGGTAATCACTGGAGTAAAAGGAATTGCGTGGGTTTAAACAAGTGTAAGAAGAGATTTGTGATCCCAGCGTTGTGGCAAACAAGATAAAAGGAGTGATCATCCATGTGCTGATATTGGAGGTTCACACCAGGAACCGTAATCCTCCTGAGCCCCAGAATCACGCTGGGGGAATATTATTTCTCTTTTTGTTCTAGGATAGGGCAGGAAAGGGCTTTGAACACCCTGTTATTAATGCAGAGTAGTTGCTGGGAGCTTAAGTGCTAGTGCAACCTGCAAAACGAAAATGGAAAATGATTTGCTTCCCTCTCCACACTGTCCTGTGGTCAGAAATCAAAGCCACCCAGTCTGCAGGTACTGATCCAACGGGGGACACAGCCGCCCCCCTAGGCAGCATGGCGCTGGGTATCCGCAGGCCTGTCCAGGGAAATTTTAGGCAGAAGTGGAACGCAAGGGGGAAGCTCAGTACCAAAAATGTGAACTGAGGTTTTGCTTCTTGCAAACTCTGGGAGTCATTTTTATTTTTCTTCAATCAGCTAGGGAAGCCCCCACCCATGAAAAGCTGTTATGGGGTAGGTTTTATTTGCATTTTTATTTTCAATTAGGCTCAGTTCATCTGTGATATAACTGTGAGCAGCTGTGACTGTGCAGCAGCCATAAAGATAAAAGGCCTGATTTTAATTTGAACTCTGGTAAAGCACCCATTAAACAGGCAAAATGTTAATTAAAAAAAAAAAAAGAGAGAATATAACAGACTTTTATGGGCGCTCTTTTTCTGTAGTAAATTAACATTGCAGACTTTCAAACAGATGTCTTAAATACACATTGTTATTAACATGAAAATGTGGTATTACATAAATTAAAATCAGGTCCAGAGGTGTTCGAGGAGACCTTTTCTCATAACATTTCCTAATTGAAAAGGCCAAGCTTGGAGCGCACGGGGAGAGTTCTCCCACATGTTGGGGCTGCAGCTGATGCAGGGCTCAGCAGCACTTTTAGTTACCTCCTGGTGCCCGTGTGAGAAAGCAAGCGCCGTAATTATTTACAGTATTTTCTAGCGAGGTGAGGGAGAGAGGGCTGTTGTTTACAGTGTATTTAGCGCCCTGCCTCGTGGCTTGCTGCTAACTTTCCCTTCGTGCCTTTACTCTGACTGCATAAAAAAAATTGCAATGGGAATTTATCAGCCTAGGTATGAAATGTATTTGTATTTGGGTGTGAGATGTTTTGTGAGATTAATTTGACAGGAGGCAGCAGAATTGTGTGATCGGACATAAGAGTGTATATAAAACGGATTAATTTTCGATTTCACATTCTTTGAGTGAAGGCTCTTTGCTGGCGCATGCGGACAGCCAAGCTGTGCGGTGGAGAGCTGCAGGAGATAGCGTGGATCCAGGATGCTGACAGGAACTTTCCTGAGCAAATCCCAAGATCTTTTCTGTTGGGCTGTCAACCTCTGGTTTTACACCAGTAATGATTTCCATTCTGGAAACTTCTTTAAGACAGCTGGGCTACAGTTTGGGCGGACCATGCGGTAGACGAAACTTGAGGACTGCAGGGCTTTCCAAAATGTCATGTTTTAATGTTAACAGACGTAGGTGTCTAAGCAGCTTCCTGATCCCAGAGAACAGGGAGACTACTAGCAAGCATTCGCCCTCTTCCAAACACTTTTATCCTTGCAGATTGCAGGTCAGACCAGTACGGCCCCGACTGCTCCCTGCGATGCCAGTGTGCCAGCAAATCCCAGTGCAATCCATACAACGGGAACTGCGTATGCCCAGCCACGTGGATGGGGCCAACCTGCAAAGAAGGTAAGACAAGATGGAGAGGTGCAGACTTTCTTAGTAGAAGGAATCACGAGTTGACCATGGTGGTGGTCAGTGGGCTGTTTGGACAGGAGTATCAACCCACTACGCAAACATAGAATCATGGAATGGTTTAGGTTGGAAAAGACCTTTAAGATTATCAAGTCCATGGTGCTCAGCAGCGGCCACGACAGTTTCTGTGTCAGGCTGTGTGAGGCAGAAGCTGCTCTGCATTTCCACCTCTGGTGAAAAACTCAGAACCCATGATAGCAGCAGCTTTGCTTGGAAGGGTTGGGTTGGTGTGTGCTGCCCTCCTAAGGGTCCAGGAGCCTGATGTTGCAAATGCCAGGGGACGCTGCAAATGCCAGGAGTCCTTCCAGGTGTTTGGGAGGTCTTGGCCAAGCTGATCTGACTCAGTGCAGTGGTTTGCCCTCAGAGCGGGCTGTGGAGATCTTGCACAGCCTGCTGAAGGATTCCCAAGGCTGCCTCCAGCACAGCTGTGCCACAGCATGGTACATTCTTGATATCCACAGCCCCATAAAGTAAATAAGGAGGTTTAATTGCTGCATGTGTGCCATCACACTCATTTACTTTTTGTAGAGGTGTCAGGTTTTGAAGATCCTGGTGGGATGTGATAAGCCAGATAAGTAGATAAAACATTGGAAAATCAGATTGATTTGCGAGCATGTTAAAGCACTCATTGCACTATCACAAAAGGGGGTTGGTTTGGTTTTTTTTTTTTTAATTTAGGTAATTTCTCTTCTTAATGAGATATAGTACTGAATGAAAGCTTCCTCCCATTTGTAGTCTAATCACAACTGGCTTGATGGTGATACCATATAATTCTGCATTTAGTTTAGGAAACACTTTGGGAGCCTTCCGTTTGAGAGGGGTTTTATTGTTTTGCCTGGTCTCTGCCTCTGTGAGGAGGCCAGGGTAACTCAGTCCTCTGCATTCTTTTGAAGAGTACCATTTATTGAATTATTTAAGTGTAAATTGTATAATCTATATGATATTTCAGTATTATGTTACATAGACCTGAAATGGTGTTTCTCCTTAATTCTCTAGGTGGCCCTCCAAAGCTTCCTTTTTATGAAGAACAAACCCAAGAAAGAGGGAGTATTTTTCCAAGAGCTGTACAACAGTAACATTTGGACTAATAAATGAACTGTTTTATATGCACAGACGGTATTTGAATTTGGATATGAAAACAGCTATTCAATTCAGCTTGAATTGTACTGAAGTATTCACACTTCTTATGGAAGACTACAGAGGCCATTTAGTAGCTGGATCCTTTTAAAAAGTTGAATCTGTTTCATGTATTTATTCCTAGTCTCTTACCCCTCCATTAATCTGCTCTGGACATCCTTTCTGATATATAATATAATTCATTGTTTGAAAGCTTGGACATGTTTTTAATAAGAGCAGCTCCAAGAGTATCAGGATAAGCAGTACATAACATGTCAACGTGCAGTGAGCCACACCACGTATAAGTGACTTTCTAAACCCTCTTGACAACCAGCGTGAAGTTTAATGAGCCTTTCACGGATTATGAAGCCAATATGGATCCACTGCAATATCACATTGCACAGAAACTAGTAGGATTCACCAAATTAATTCCTCTTTGAACAACCTTGTGTGTTGTAGAAAAGCATTCAGTCTACTTTTACACTTGCAACTGAAGAAGAATCCACCACAGTCCTTGCTAAGTTGTTAATTTAAGAATATGTACCACATTTCTAGTGTGGATTGACTGATTGGAAGGTCTCCATCTATATCTTGCTTACGTCTGAATCCGTCTTCCAAAGGTCACGGTGTCATCTGTCAGGCTGTTCTGGCTTTCTGTGTTCTCCCATCTTGTCAGTTGAGTTTCGCGGTGGTTTGTCAAGTCAAACTGTGCAGCAGTTCTCATCAAACAGTACCTTCTAACACAGACAAGAGTTTTATCTCGGATGGAGAAAACAGATAGTAAGCAAGGAGAGATGTTTAAAGATAATCTCTGTGTTCTCTGTATAAAGGATTATAATGTGCTTTTACTGCACAATAATTTGATTAAGTCAGCTCTAAAAAGTCCTGATACTGTTCAACAGCTGCTGTTGGTCACTTAATAGAATATTTTGGTGCTATTTTGTCTGTTTAGACAGGCTCCTCTTGAATATAGGACTATGTCATTATAAAGAAATAATATGTTCTCTATTTTAATCTTCTGAGTTAACCAGACTAAAAGATTTCAGAGTGCCTCTTTTACCTCTCTTTAGGGCAGGAGTTACAAAATCTATGTATTAACCTCTGGAGTTCTACTGCATTGAAAGTGCCCTTACTAAAGGGCATCCGGACCATGGGCTCAGTAGACGTGGTAGTGGTACAGGCAGTTCCAGGTCTCGTGTCCACACTACCATTCACGCACCATAACAAACTGCAACTCTGCAAGAGAAGGTTTTTGTCTTAGAAGGGGCAAAGTGACAATAGTTGATGCTAACTTGTGATTTTTAAAGATGATGGTTGTTGTTGTGGTTGGATAATGAGTAGGCGAGTAGTTTTACCCCATGGTTCACCTTGGGTCTTAATCACATCCGCAGTTGTTAGCTGTCCAGTACAAAGCAAGCGACACTTGCTCACCTGGGACTTCAATTCAAACTGTGATCTATTGGAAGCAATACAGGTTTGGTAGGTATTTTTCAAGCTTCATGGAAGTCTTATTGTTGCTATTAATCACTTCATAGCTATCAAAAGTCATCCTAAACATGATAAAGATATTTGTGATTGTGTCAGAATTAATTAACCAACTGAGCTTGCAGTCAGAAAATCACAGGGGCTGATGCTGATCCCTTGTAATTTTTTCTTTAGAGCTCTATGAATGTCACTGGAAAGTTTATTCGATGTAAATGTGACAAAATTGTTGTTGTCCCAAAACTACTTCAGAAGTGTGGGGGTCTCAGCAGGGCTTTACTGTCAGCCGTGACATTTTAAATGTTCTTCTGGAGATGTGCTGGCCTGGCTCTGATCCTACAATTATGTGAATTTGGGGCAATTTCACTGAACTGGAACTGATAAGGTAAATCTCGTGTGAGACAATTAGATATAATCTTAGCAACTGCTGGAGAAGAACGACCCAAGTTAAGCAACTGCCATATTTTCTTCTTAACTGTGTATTTACTGCACAGCCAAACTACAGTAGTAATGCAAGCATTGCATTATATTCAAGATTTTTTGTAGAATCATAGAGTAGGTTGTAAGAGACCTTTGGAGGTTCAGGCTTCTCTTCAGCGCCTGGTCAGCTTCAAAGTTAAATGAGGTTGCTCAGAGATTCATCCAGTTGAATCTGAATATCTCTAAGGGTGGAGATCCCACAACCTCTTTGAGCCCCTGTCCCAGTGAAAATTTCATGCTCACGATTGTTTGTTTGTTTGGTTTTTGCTAGTTTCTAATCAGAATTCCCTAAGTTTCAACTTTGGTCCGCTGCTTCTCATCCTTTCAGTGTGCATCTCTGAGAAGCGTTTGGCTTTATCTTGTCTACAGCCTCCATGGGGTAGTTGAAGACCACAATAATGGCTCCCTTTGGTCTTCTCTTCTGAAGGCTGAGCAAACTCTCCTCCCTCAGACCCAACGGTATCAGCCCCACTTACCTCCGTGCCCCTTCACCGGTCCCATTCCAGTAAGTCGGACATCTCAGCTTTTTTAGTTTAGGGAAAGGCACCCACTGTCTGGTAGGGTTACTCAGCAGCTAACGCACAAAACCCAAGAACTTATATTCTGCTGTTTGACAGCAGTTTATAAAACGCACTGGTTTTTTTTCTGATACATGTATACTGATCTGTATACTGATACGTGATTAGAGCAGCTAATCAAAGGGGAAACCTTTCTCAAGCCATATTTACACCTGTGTAGACTTGTTTACATTTTCCACAGTACCTTGATAATAGAATTGTAAATATGTAGTATAAAGGAAATAAAAGATTTTTGTATTAAGTATTTTTAAAGGATGTCACAATTTTAGGTACATGGTGAAACACGTATTTTAAGTGACTGGTAGTGAGCCTGTGCCAGTGAATTAGAGGCCCAAGTAGATCTGCCTGGGCAATATTTCAGCAAACTTTTTTTTTTTAAACTGGAAAATGCCAATTCATACAAAACCATTCACATGCAATAGTCTTATTTTTATTCATTCTTCCTTCAAAATACTTCTTAGCTTCTTTATGTTATTGCCTTGGGGAAAGAAGTTCACTTCAGTGTCCTTAAACAGATCATTCTGATTTGGGGCTTAATATGACTTTGTTCCAAAACAAAGTACCATCATATGAAGGTAAAACAATCAAAATTATTTATTTCAAAAATATTAAAAGATTACTTTTGACGAGGTAGTTTTGAATGTCTTTTCTTGGCTCGCTATTTCTGAAGGTCTTTACTTTTTCCACAAGGCAGGGAAAATGTTTACAGGATGTCTTTTTCTAGAAGAAGAGCCAAAACTTTGCATCATCAGCCATCGATTAAGGCAGTTTACTTGCTTGTGATGTCTTTAATACATCTTGATGCTGCTCCTTACTGCAGATTCACAAATTTACCTAATTCTGTGCCTACAAAATAGTCTTTATTAGACAGCACGTACTTTTTAATGGGAAAGCTACTAAATTAGCTTTTCCATAGATTCATTTTATGGCAAGTGAGTTTAATTACTACTAAAATAATACAACTCGGCTTCTTTGCTTCATCAGATTCCAGTGAAAAACCGTTAGGCTGATCCTGTCCTGAACATAGCACTAGAACTTGTTGAAAATGAAAGTGAAAACCTCTGCAAAAATGTTTTTTATATTTAAATTCATGTCCATCTTCCACTTGGTAAATGCCTTTCTTGGCTCTCCATTTCCCAGAAGGCTGAAGTTAATTATGCTTTCTTGAAGAGAGCGCTCTGTGCGTTCCGCTGTAACACACTTGCATGCACAGATAACTCCTTGCAGAAAGACATTGAAATTATTTTGACCGTGCAGTTCCTGTGCCAAATCCCACTCTCTTACCTTGTTGTTGTATTCCAGATCACTTCAGTTTGGGAAGAGTGGAAATGAGTTGAGTGTAACTCGGTGGGTGCAGCAGAATCTTACTCAATGTGAATTCATGAAACCAGAACAACATGTTTTAAGTTAGATTTCAGTATTTATAACACTATTCTCATAGGAAAACAATCAGAATTTTAAAAATTCTCTGCTTCCCCTGCCAAAAATTGTTATTCTACTTTTATCCTTTTTATGTTGAAGAACCGTAGCTATTAAAGTTTGCCCAGATTTCTTGCCAACCATATTATTTTGATTGGCTGCAGATTTCTGTTTGTGTAAGTAATAACCATTATAGTATCAGGAGTTGCCAATGGGACAAACATGGAAATTATACCTTTATGTCCTTCCCAGAAGAGCCGAAGACACATTCTGGAGCCATCGTGGCTTCATACTGTTGATCTAACAGTGACAAATAACAGCGTTTCTGTTAAGAGATTAGCTGCTTATCAGAGCAAAGAAAAGCTTAGGAAGGGTCCTTGGGAGAACTGATGGACCAAGAAACCTCCATCCTCCTGTCCCCCTGTTAGTTTTTGTAATAGTTAGGCCAGAAACCTTCTCAGCCCCCAGTTCTTGAAGGACTTTTCCTGCACGTTGACCTGTGGCTGACCGCAGCTCTGTGCATTCGCTGTGGCCATGCCCAGTAATTCTTTTGCAGGGTCAAAGCTTTAAATTCTAACGCCGGGCAAAGCAATTTCCAGTGGTAAACACCAAATCTCAGACTTGTAGAGCATAACTTGTTTATTCTGTTCTTTTTATTGCTTTTAATAAGCACTTGCATAGCCATGTTATGTCTTTGTGAATTTGTAACCCCTATTCAAAGAGTATGTGGGATGTATCTCAGAACCGTACTGTATTTTCTGTTGTACATGTATCATAGTGAAAGGATGCTGATTTTTTTATACACATGCCATTAAAACTTGTTCTTGTTTTCTCCGTATTGATAGTCTTGAAGCAATAGGTTCCTGTTGTGGATGAAACTTTACTCTGTTAAACTAATTCACATTCGGTGCAATGTGTGTGAAATCACACCTGCTTTTAGTAGTTTGTATAGAATAAATAATGGCCTCTACATAAATGGGCTTATATATGATCCCTGACCA